ATATATATATATATATATATATATATATAGGGCCCCCATATACAGTATTGACTCCAGCCCAGGGGCCCCCATCCTGACTCCAGCCCAGGGGCCCCCATCCTCCTAAATCCGGCCCTGCATACAGTATGTTACTAAATTTTACTACTAGCACTGCAGAACAGCAGCAGCTCTGGTTCCGGTCCAACTCTGTTTTATTCCGACTCGGTTCATTTCTGCAGACCTATCCTGCAGCAATGAAGCCCACAAATCAGTCCTCTAAACTCTTCATCCATCCATCCATTAACTTTAACCCGCGTCTTCCGTTTTGGGTCACGGGGGTTGCTGGGGCCCATGTCCAGCAATCACTGTGCGAGGGGCGGGGGACACCCTGGACGGGTTGCAAGTCCATCACATGGCCACATAGAGACAAACGAGACAAACAACCATTCACTCTCTCACTCACACCTAGGGACAATTTTGTCACGAACCAAGGTTTTGGATTCAATATAAGCCAGACACAGGAGTGCAAAAATTAACAGTTTTTATTAATAAGGCTGCTGGTAGCTGCAGAGGGAGGCCTTTAATGCTATGGACAGTGGGGCAATGAAAGTTTGTGGTCCAAAGGGCAATCCAAAAGGGTGATCCGTGAGTTGAGGTCTTAGACTGAAGAGGATGTTGTTACCGTGGTCAGAGAGGCAGAACAGAACCAGATGAGGAGCAGGCAAAAAACAGGAAAACCAGAAGGCAGGCGTGAGGTCAATAATTCAGAGAACAAGGCTTGAGGTCTAGGCATGAAACTATGAGGGTTTGAAAATCAGGGACCATGGAAGGTGTAATAATTCAGCACGGTGGAGAGGGAGAATGGAGTTTATAAAGGGTGCAGAGCAGGTGAACTAGATGAGCTGAACAGGTGAGTGTAACCAGAGCTCTAAAAAAGTTAAATCTGGTCCTCTGGACATTCAAAAAAACAAAACAAAGCAAAACAACAAAAAAATGTAGAAACGTTTCGTCTCTCATCCGAGAGACTTCCTCAGTCTGAGGTGCTGTATTCAGCTCAGTCTCTTAAAGAGCATCTTCTCAGAGTGGATCAACCAGTTTTGCTGCTGACAACCAAAACTAGCTGATCACATGCTCAAGAAGGACCATCAGCCTAACAATGGATCATTAGCACACTGATGGCTGTTTACTATTCACAGAGGGCTGAGTGATACTAGCAATCACAGCATTGTAAGAGGGGGACAATTGAACACGTAGGCCTCCACCCCTGTTTAACGATGGGACGATTTCTTTTCACAAAAATGGCCTCCTTTACTCCTCTCTCAAACCATTGTTCCTCGCTATCCAGGATGTGAACATCCTCATCCCTGAAAGAGTGACCGCTGGCCTGGAGATGAGTGTACACCAGAGTCCTGGCCTGATGATGTTGATCTTCTGTGCTGGGCCATCCTTTTGGCCAGTGGCTGTTTTGTTTCCCCGATGTAAGACTGATCACAGTCCTCCTGACACTGAACAGCATACACAGTATTACTCTGTTTGTGCCGGGGGACTTTATCTTTGGGATGAACCAGTCTTTGCTGTAATGTATTTTGGGGTTTTAAAACCACTGGGACGTTATGTTTAGAAAATAAACGTCTCAGTTTCTCTGATACTCCCTCAACATATGGAATGACCACTGGACTAGGTCTGGGTTCCTCCTTTTCACCTGTTGGCTGCCTGGAGTCCTGTTTGGGTTTCTTCTCTGCTTTCAGGAAGGCCCAGTTAGGATATCCACATTGCTCTAGAGCCTGTCTTGTGTGGGATTTCTCCTTCTGCCTGGCTCCTGAGCTAGTGGGGACGCTGTCTGCTCTGTGATACAGAGTCCTGATGACTCCTAACATGTGCTTCAAATGGTGATGGGAGTCAAACTGCAAATACTGGTCTGTGTGGGTGGGTTTGTAGTACACCTCAGTTTGCAAATGTCCTCTATCAGAGACTGAGACCTCACAGTCCAAGAAAGCCAACTTGCCATTTTTTTCATCTTCTCATGTGAACTTGATGTATTTATCCACAGAGTTGATGTGGTCAGTAAAATGTTGGACTTCCTGAGATTTAATTTTAACCCAGGTGTCGTCAACATACATGAACCAATGACTTGGTGGTGTCCCTGAAAAGGACGTCAAGGCTCTCTTTTCTACCTCCTCCATGTACAGGTTGGCAACAATAGGAGAAACTGGAGACCCCATAGCACACCCATGTTTCTTCCTATAATATTGCTCCCCATATGTGAAGTAGGTTGACTGCAGGCACAGTTTCAAGAGTTGACACAGTTGTTCTGTGGAAAGCGTGGTCCTGCTGCTCAGAGTGGTGTCTGATTTTAATTTTAAACTGACCACCTCTACTGCATCATCAACAGGAATGCATGTAAAGAGTGATGTGACATCAAAAGAGACCATTGTTTCATCAGTCTCCATGATGACATCCCTCACCTTATCCACAAAGTCCATGGTGTTCTGTATGTGGTGTTCTGAGCTGCCAACTAAAGGGATGAGTACAGACGCCAGATATTTGGAAACATTGTAAGTGACAGAGTTAATCATGCTAACGATTGGTCTTAAAGGTACACCTTGTTTGTGGATTTTAGGTAAACCATACAGACTAGGTGTGGCCTCCCCTGGGTACAGTCTGTGGTGGTACAGAAAACGGTCAACATCCTTGTCCTGCTCCAAAATTTTCAGGTAATCAGGCAGATGTTCACATCCTGGATAGAGAGGAACAATGGTTTGAGAGAGGAATAAAGAAGGCCATCTTTGTGAAAATTAATCGTCCATCGTTAAATAGGGGTGGAGGCCTACGTGTTCAATTGTCCCCCTCTTACAATGCTGTGATTGCTAGTATCACTCAGCCCTCTGTGAATAGTAAACAGCCATCAGTGTGCTAATGATCCATTTTTAGGCTGATGGTCCTTCTTGAGCATGTGATCAGCTGGTTTTGGTTGTCAGCAGCAAAACTAGTTGATCCACTCTGAGAAGGTGCTATTTAAGAGACTGAGCTGAATACAGCACCTCAGACTGAGGAAGTCTCTCAGATGAGAGACGAAACGTTTCTACATTTTTTTGTTGTTTTGCTTTGTTTTGTTTTTTTGAATGTCCAGAGGACCAGATTTAACTTTTTTAGATTTTTCTACATGGATTATTGAGCATGCATCAGGGTAATCAGGGCTGATGAGCTGAAAGTGCAGAGGGGGTGTGTGGCTAATGACAGAAGAAAAAACAGCATGATGACAAAGAGGAGCAGAAACATGACATAATGGGGCTGTGAGTGTGAGACAGGGGCTGATGGGGGGTCAGCGGGGGCCACTGATCGTGACAAATTTAGAATTACCAATTAGCCCAACATGCATGTTTTTGGTCTGTGGAAGGAAACTGGAGTACC